TCCCTTGCCCTTATTAACATATGTATATGTGAAGGGCACCACAGGCATTTTATGTAAGTATGAAGAGTGTGGTTCATGCTTTTGAGAACTTTAAAATTAAACTAGAGGCATTCACCACATGCAAAACTTAAATATGGGTAGGGTGACCATTTCCTGGGGCCACGGTGTCATTTTTTCACGGCATTAGTGTTTTCCAATAACTCCATAAGTTTCGGCCAACTGATGCAGAAACAACCAAATAAGGTACCTTTTCCAAAAATGTTTTTTTCCCTTACTTCTACTGAATTCGTCTAATAAAAGTAACTCTTTGAATAACTGCCACTTGTCTACTGTGGAAAACTCTTATTTGGCAGTAATTGTGAAGCACCCAATATAAATTACAAATATTTACTACAGGAGAATCATGGAATTCCATTTCCACTTTCAAAACCAATAAAAAAATTGCTACTTATATTGGCATTCTCTGACTTTGTAAAGACAAATGACAAAGTATTTTGTTTTGGGGCAATTGTAACATTTCTGTACTGACAAAGTGGTTTAATACTCCACTTTATCTGTTGGAGTAAAGGGTCCTTTTGTACGTCAAAGGTGAAAAATGGTAATTTTCACGAATAAGCAATATACTACTTTGTTAATTTCATAAAAACTTTTTGTAAAAAGAAATCAGTGTATCTCACAAGAAGAACACATTTTGTTGACCTTCCAAAATAAAGTCATCCATTTAAAGCTGAAATAGTAGATAGTTGTATTTAAAAGTTACAAATAACAAATGTTTTTTTTATTTCTTAATTTTTCATTATGTGGTAGACACACATTTCAAATTGGCCAAGCAGTTATTAACAGAATGATTTTTTTTACCCTGTATAGATGTTATCATAATTTATTATTGACCTATTGAAAGCATACATGTTGTATAGTTGCTTTGAATTGAGAATCATATTTGGGTATGTGTGTGTGCAAAAATTAGGCTAACAATACAACCCTGTCAAATAATTCTCATTCCAATGCAAAAGTAGAAACTTTTGAGAATATGTCAGTACATGTAAGAAGTCAATAATGAGACTTGTCAGAGATTCATTGAAATGCAAAGTTGCCAACATTAATATCTTAATTTTTTCCCAATATTTGAAGCTCAAGAAAATAGCAGAAAATGGGAAGTAAATATATTTAATATTTTCCTAGTGACTTTCATAGAGCCAGTAACAACTTGCGAAGATGACAAGTTTTATGCTTTTCATTATGTAATAGCTGAAGTGTGATGGAAAATAGATGGTTCGTGTCATGTCATTGTTTACTTCTGACTGTCCCATTTCATGATACTCCTGAACATCATGGAATGAGTAAATAACAAAAACAATAGTAAAGTCATCTGAATAATGCAGGAGAGATAAGTCTTAGTAAAGACAACTTTAAATATATATGGAGCAAAAAAATGAGTGGAAAATTTCTACAAGTATAATGATCATGAGGTCTGAGCACACATAATCCTAGCTACTTAGGAGGCTCATGGTTCCAAATCACCCCAGGTAGAAGTTTCCAAAAATCCTTAACCAGTCACCACCAAAACGCAAGGCTAGAAGTGTGGCTCTATTGCTAGAGAAAAACACCAGCCAGAACATGAGGTCTTGGTATCAGAAAAGGAGGGCTAAAGGGAAGGAGGGAGGAAGAGAGACAGGAACAGAGAAAGAGAGAGAGAGGGAGAGAGAGAGAGAGAGAGAGAGAGAAAGAGAGGCAAAAATCCCATAAAGCATGTATACATTTTAGGAATCTTCAGAAAACACATTTTACTCAGTGTATATTAGACTATTATAATTTCTATTTTAATCACATTAATAGTTTTGTACAAATAAAAATAAACCAAGTATGTTTAATAAGTAGTGGGAATTCACAGACAAGTTGTGTATTCTTAACAAATATGTTTAATTATAACTGCTTCAAATGTACCACCGATTTTCAAAAGTTTATTTTAAGTTTGAAGACTAGACATGGTCATACTGATTTTACAACATTCTATGTGATTTAAGTATATATACAAAGAAAAAAACAACAACATTGAAATATTACACAGCTTGAAAGTTTGCAAAAGTAATGTGTCTTGGTTATTTTTTGTACTTACTGGCACATCAGACACCAGCATTGGGCATTCTATTTCATCATTTGTTGACTTCCAGAGTTACAATCATTAGTACTCCAAGTCTTCAAAATCCATTATCTATCATTATGAAGTGATTCAGAAAGAGAAAGTCAACCCTAATATTGGAGTTTGTATGGGATGATTGCTGTCATTAAGACACGGATCAAGTGGAGATGCTTTTAATTTTATGTTACAAAATTAGTTTTGACAGTTACTTAATATATGTAGGACTGGCTAATTTTTTTGGTGTTTTCTGCTTTCTTGGCAATTAAAATAAAAAAATTTGCTTTCACTTTGATATCATTGATACAAATGAGATACAAGATACTTCATAATTATCAGTATTTCCATATGGGGAATCTCTGCGGAGAAATCCATGTGCCATGGGAAAAAAAAAAGAAAAAAAAACAAAGAAAAGTATATTAAGGTGTAAGAAAAAGCATAAGCCAGAGGAGGCCATTCCAGTGACTTCTGAAATGTAACCAACATAATCTTAACCAACTCCTTTGGAAAGTGTATTTTTTAAACAGCAATCAACAGAAAAAAAATTGAAAAATATCACATTAAACATTTGAAAACATTTACCAATCACAAAGTATTATTCATAATCTTTAGAATATGGTCTAGAGAATGAAGAATCAAAAAGAAAAACATTTAAAATTTGGTAGGACCATAAATCCTAAAAGAAAATAATGGAACAAAGGCTATAAAGTAAGCATGTGTAAGTTTTTCTTTTCTTGGTAGCACTGGTGTTTTGAACTCAGAATTACAGACTTGCTAGCAGGCACTTTTACCTCTGAGCCATGCATCTAGATATAATTTATGCTCATAATTTTGGGGATAAATGAATCTGGGTACAATTCACCAGGCTTGCTGCTATCTAAGACAACTGGTATTCAACACTGTCTCTCTAATTTTTGAAAACTAGGCTCCCAGACTTTTTTTTCTGGCCTGTCTTACCATGAAAAATAATCCCCTCAATTTCAATCTCTCAAATTGGTACTATTATAGGTGTGAGCTACTGGTTCCTGGCCAAGTGTAGGTGTTTTATACTCCTGCATAACTTTTTATAAAATGATTTTTAAACTCAGCCATTTGTAATATGTGCAAAGTCTAATAAAATAAAATTAAAATCAGCTAAAAGACATAGAAATTTTGTTTTGAAATGATATTGAAAGCTGATCCATTTTTAGACATTTTAAATAAACCATTACATAATAAGAAGCTGAAGAAAAAAGCATGAACATGGAACCAACATATGACCAGTCAGTCCACTTAGATGGATAGATTTCCTCTTATTAATAATGTTATTGTGATTGACTTTCTCTTTAAATTCATTACTATGGTTGAAGAACACTCCATATATACATTATGAAGAAATGCTGATAACACATGGGCAGACAGGACAGTAACAGTCTAGTGGCTTCTGTTATGCAGTACAGATATTAAAGAAAAGAAAACAAACAACTCAGAAGTGTTGTGCAGGGCCTTAACATTTCATACACATTCCATCCTTTCTTTTCCCAGGACCCTTAATTTTAAACTCCAATAATTCTGTGTCTAAGCCTTATGAAAGAAATACTTGTAGACTTTATAAATTAGGTACTGAGGACATTTATGGAGGGCAGCATGTGCTTTGATTGGAGAAACATGTCAATGAAGCCTCCATTATCAGTAACAAAGTGTGGTGATAATTGCTGATTTTTTTCAGAACCTTTGAAGCAAAATTCACAGAAATCAATTTTCCTCTTGAAAATGGTTTATGATTTTGTCATTAGTAAACACTTGGCTTCTTCTAAATAACTGCATATGTGCTTTCTTGAGAAATGACTACTATCTTCAAATACAAATAAAATTTTCACTTCACAGGAAATGTGGGGATTGACCAAGCACTCCAACAACTTTTGTTTGCTCATCTTTAAATTCACAAAGGATGAGTCTACTCTTTTGAAGTAAATGTAAGGCTATGTAAATAAGATCAAAATGAAGATTTAAATTTAAAGGGACATGATAGCTATGTTTCTTTCTAACAAAATGATAATATAGAATTTTTCCATAAGGAAAATTTTCCATTTATGGAAAAATATATGTAATTTGGGAATTACATGTTTATAGCTTCCTTTCTAGTTAAAATTTCAGACTCATTTTAATGACATTAAATACCAATCAATTTACTAATATCCAATGATGTTCCATGTATATAAATAAAGATGACACTGTATTGTAAGTAAATAATAGGAAAAAATAATTTGGAAAATTTTGACCTATTTTGGCAATAAACACAAAGGATTTACACAGTCTCCAATTAAAATTAATGAAAATGAAAATGGGTATTAACAATAATTAATACTGCTAATTACAGAGTCTTTTTCAAAATTATTATAAAGCTTGACAGTATTAGGTAGGCACAGGGAAACAACATAATGTGGATTACAGGAAAAAATCTTATTGCTCACATTGTAATATTTCATTTATGAAAATTAGTTGAGCTTTGAGTGTAAATGCTCCATCAACATTTATTTTTATTGTATTTTATTTTATTGTCTGTGATCTGACAACTGTTAAGTTTCTACCTTTGCTATGAAAAGAAGCCTACTTGTTTTCCTTCATATATTGCAGCCAATATAAGTAATTAAGGAAATAATGAAAAAGCTAATTGATAATAAATGCAATGTTACTTAGGAGAGCTGAACAATAAAAATATAACAATAGATAAGGCAGGCTTAGACCTACTTAAAGGACAAAATCTGAACAACCTTGTCACACACATACAACAACGCATTCAGTTTCCTACAGATTTTGCACAGTCCATTCCATGGAGATACTTTTGGGGAAACAGAAGAGTGCTATGTGAGTTGGGGTCTTCTTATTCCTCCTCTGTGCAGCCCAGCAGCTCTGACCGCAGAGTGATCCTCCCATACCAGGACCAAGGAAGGATTCGTATGTGCCTTGCATAAATGGGAGGATCGATGACATTTTTTCTGTGGGTGTCATTATCAAAATTGCCCTGGAACACCTAAAAACAATAAGAGAAAATATCAACCATGCGGCTTTCTTTTTCTCTGGAATTTATTTCAATTAAAAAAATTGTACAGTATTTCCCAAATGCAAGATTTGATCGTTATTTAATACATTAAAGATTCTTTAAAAATCGTTATTTTAAATGCCATTTTCATGTTTAACCATTAAATGAGGCAAGAAATGTTTTTTAATATTAAATATATATTTTTATTGTAAAGATACCGTACAGAGGGTTACAGTTACGTGAGCAAAGAAATGAGTCCATTTCTTATTGAGCATTGTTACCCTCTCTTGGTTTTTCCCTAACATCCCTTTCCTCCCCACCTGCCCTACTCCTCTCTCCTCCCTTCCCCAGTGCAAAGTTTTTTTTTTTTTTTGTCTTCAGCATAGGATCTTGTACATCTTGTTGTTACAATGGGTCAACCAGTATCATTATTTCAGCATTTTGTTATTTCCCTTCCCCCCAAAAAATTAGAAAAAATGTATATACAAGATGCAGGACACCGGAATCAAATACACTGACAATAGGGGTTGTACCACGGGGGAAGAATATGCAAAGAAACAAAAAAAATCACATAGTACATTATAAATACATTAAAAAGAACAACAACAAAGATAACATCTCTTTTGTTCCTAGGTTGGGGTTCATTTCGCTTAGCATAAGGTTATAAGGTCATATATACATAGCTTTTGACCTCTTCTGCTTGTCTTAGACATATACTAGTTATTGCAGATAAGCAAAACCATCAGACCTATGTTTCTTTGGGTTTTTAATGCAGACAATTTTAGATCTAGCTCTGTGTGTGTGTGCGTGTTTGTGTGTGTGTGTGTGTGTGTGTGTGAGTGTGTGTGTATGTGTGTGTGTGCTAATAGTGTGGCATGCTCCCTTAAGTTATTTTTTCCTCAAAGTTGACTTTCTATCACTTGAATCACAACTCTACTTCTGGCTTTTTAATGATTAATTGGAGCTAAGAGCCTCACAGACTTTCCTGCCCAGGTTTGAACTGGATTCCTCAGATCTTGGCTTCCTAAGTAGCTAGGATTATGGGTACGCAATGCTGGTACCCAACTCATAGATTTATCAATTTATCTTCTTGGTTTTCTTAATTGAAAGCAAAGTTTATCAATTTAGCTAGTTAATTGACCTGATGCTGGTCAAGCAGCAACCTCAATTTACTCTGTTCTAGGACAATGACTCAGATGCAAGTCATGCACAAGTAACAGCCATCATGTTGGGAATGTGGCTCTCTCCGTCAACAGAGGTATGGGGAAAGAGAGTAAATTGTAGAAAATATTTTCAGAAAAGAAGTATATCACACCACTCAATATGTATGCATATGTATATGCCTATCTATGTATCTCTCTTTTTCTCTCTCTCTCCCTACCTACCTATCTTTCTATCTATCTATCTACCTATCTTTCTATCTATCATCTCTGCTTGAATTGTCAGACCTTTAACTGCAAAGGAAGAGGAGAAATAGGACTGTATAGGGGCTTTGGTAAAAAGGGGGTCTTTATCAGAATTCTTTGTTCAGTTCTCACATAGAGGAAAAGAAATAACCCATAACCAGAAAAATGAACCAATCAATGCTGGTTTTAAATTAAATTGTTTTGGCTTTTCGATCATTCTGCAAAGAAAACATAATCTGTAGTCTGTAAATTCTCCTTTCCCTGTGAAAGTCTGTAGAATATCTTTAATAAGTACCTGTTTCAGAAAGAAAAATAGGCAAAACACTAGGACCTTAATAAGAATGATTGTAAATTATAAATTACTGGGATGGAAAGTAAAGTATGTATAATGTGTTTTGTCTTTATATGAAGATTTTACTATTTTTGCCTATTGATTTTGTACATTCTTGTTAGTTTCTATGTTCATATTTTTTTTTTTTTTGGTCGGTCGTGGAGCTTGAACTCTGGCCCTGGGCGCTGTCCCTCAGCTCTTCTTCTCAAGGTGAGTGCTCTACCACTTGAGCTACAGCGCCACTTCCGGTTTCCTGGTGGTTTATTGGAGATAGGAGTCTCACGGTCTCTCCTGCCTGGGCTGGCTTTGAACTGCGATCCTCAGATCTCAGCCTCCTGAGTAGCTAGGATTACAGGCGTGAGCCACCAGCGCCCGGCTTTTCTATGTTCATATTTTTATTTCATGTTAGATAATGAAAATCTCTTCATCTTTTAATTTTATTAGGCATCTTATGATTGAAAGGTAATTTTCTTTCTTATTTGTGATCTAAACAGGACCATAGAAGCAAAGGGAGAAAATGAAAATAAAATTCTCAAAAGAATGAAAGATAAACAGAGAAAGAAATAGAACAAAGAAAGGAAGGGAGGCAGAAAGGGAAGAAGATCTCTGTATGAGGGAACATGTAACCTATATTTTGAAATTAAAGGATGTGCTTTTGATATTCCTTTGAGAAAAAGTTGGTTCAATCTTTTACAGTCACAAAATATCACTTAGAGAGAAAAATAAATTAATTTCTAAATCATTAGGCAGTTTAGCACTGGTAAATACAAGTAACAGGAATGATTTGGTAGTCTTTTTGTGGATTCTATGGGAAGATTATTTGCTTTTGAGGGTAAATGCAAAGTACTGTCCCCACGTGGTGGGAGAGTAATTCTTTAACTTGACAGATGTCATATTTCAAAGGCTATTTTTGAAAAGAATGCTGGTTTGTGCTAAGTTTATAATCCATCATCTTGACACATGAAAATATTCATTTAATTGAGATTTTATCTCCAGCAATGCTCTGCACTGACCAAGAAGGACATCCTTCTAGATTCAATGTTTTACTAAGTGATTTTATCTCTGTTAGCCAAAGCTCACACTTTCAACCCATACCATGGAATCACTCACCAAAATCATGGGAGGTTGTCATTGTACAACAGGAAACAAGGGCACACACTGTGGTTTTCTGATATTTTCTCTAATTTATGGTCTTGGTTTCAAATTCATCACAATGAGATTGTACAGTTAAAATTGAATATTCAAACTAAGATCCAGTTTTCAATTCCTGTTAGAGAAGTATATGTATTTGGAATAATCTAGATTAGCAGTACAGTTCAAATTCACTAAGCTGTATGGCACTATCTATAATATTCCAAAGCACAGTGTTAGACCACTTCTTAGAAAGGACATTTTGGAAGAAACAATTTTAAATCTCTATTTTTCAGCAAGATTTCCAAAAGAAACTGTCCAAGGCACAAATCATTATATGATGGATTTTATTTATTTATTTAACAAGAGTACAGGTGGAGAATCTCCATTGCTCTAAAATTGAATAAAACCAAGAAATTTTTCATGTAAAATATGAAAATCATAGTTATATTGATGCTTGTTCCAAAAGAAGTGCTATTTATAAGGCAAGATGATTTATAAAATCCAAGTGCCAACAGAAAAATAGTCAAAATGCACAGTGGATTTGCTCAAATTATGCTCTAAAATATTTAAAAACACAATATTATTTCTAGAGGTCTATCAGTAATAATAGTATAAAAGCATGCACTTGCTAATTCTGAGGATACCTTGAATTTGCTATGTAGAAAGATGACATATGTGGCAATTTGCTGTTGCCAGCACTCACAATCCCCTACTTAAGGGCACCATTTCAACATTTTACCTAGCAAAACAACACAGTATTTTTTGTTCAATTTATAAAATCTGTAAGATGTTTGGAGAAATGATATGCTTCACGCACTCACTTTGGAGGTGTGTAGCTATACTGGCATCAGATTCTAGAAAGGCAGTGGAAATTATTAAATATATCTATAGGAGGGAAATAAAGCTGTAGTTTGGGGCTGAGGCTAATTAGCAGATGATACATTTTCTCATATATTCAAATGTGATCGTGCTTGAATGCTCTCTCCTGAATTTTCTAACCTGTGTATCCTTTTTTTCACCTTATTGCACTCCTCAGTTTTCTTTTATTAAATTTGATTTTATTTTATTGTACTGGTGATGTACAGAGGGGTTACAATTATATAAGTAAGGTGATGAGTACATTTCTTGTAGAACTTTATTACTCCCTCCCTCATTTTCCCCCACTTTCCCTCCTCCTTGACTCCCCACCTCCCAGCCAAGTTGTAAAGTTCATTTCCAACATATTGTCTTGTGAGTATCACTGTTGTATTGGTTCCCCTTTGTCCTTTGTCTCACCATTTTGTTATACCCCTTTCCTTTCCCAAATCAGATAAACACATATGCATGACACAGGGTACCAAAATCAAAAACAGTGACAACAGGGGGTAAACCAAATGAAAAAAAAAGAAAGAAAAAGGAAATAACTTTACATAGTACATTCAAAATAAAAACAAAAACAAAAACCAAATAAAAAATCCTCTTGTTCCATATCTTGGAGTTCATTTCGATTAATGTCATTTTATATGATTATATGTACATAGCTTTTGAGCTTTTGTTATCATCTGCTACGACTATCTGCTAGGACTATCCTTCTAATTGTTAAAAGGAAGGAAAGCATAGAGCCTAGGTTTCTTTGTGTCTGGCTTACTTCACTTAATATGATTTTTTCCAAGTCTTTCCATTTCACATCACCCCAGTTAGAATGGCCACTATCAAGAAAACAAGAAACAAATAACAGATACTGGCAGGGATGTGTCCAAAAGGGAACACTACTACACTGTTGGTGGGAATGTAAACTTGTTCAACCATTCTGGAAAGCAGTTTGGAGGTTCCTCATAAGACCATATATAGAACTCTCATTTGATCCAGCAATCTCACTCCTGGGATTTATCCAAAAGATTACAAACAAGGCCATTCTAAAGCTACCAGCACAACTATGTTCTTTGCAACATTATTTACCATAAATAAGATATGGAACCAACCCAGGTGCCCCTCAAAATATGAATGGATCAAGCAAATGTGATATATGAATATATATAGTCATATATATAGTCATATATATTCATATATATATGAATAAATATTCATATATCACATTGAATTCTATGCTTTCATCAGAAAGAATGACATTGCCCTATACA